CATTTCCACTATCTTCAGGGTAAAATTGGATGCCTTGGTCAGTGACAATTCACTTTTCAGGTCTTTAATGTCTAGTCAGGAATCCACCCATGAATCTATCAATAATTTCTATGGGTGATTTCAGGAGCAATGAATGCACTGGAGCCTACTTTATGAAAATACTGAGGCTCCTGAAGCATAAATTCACTTCCTTCCAAATTATAATTGAATTAGCATATCTCTGATATATGGTTAGCATAATAACTCACTCTTTTAATTATTTTCTAATGTGGTTGGAGTAAAACAGTAGGGAGCAGAGTTGTATTTGTTTGGTTTGGTTTGGGATTTCACATCTCTACCCTTGTGGCAATGCTGTTAATTTCACTGTTTTATATGTGTTTTTGTAGTAGCATTGAGACGACTGCATTCTGATTTGGCCAGATAGGTTATCGCAAACAGAGTTTCCCAACAAGTGCACCAAGTCACAGAGTTACAGCTTTGATAGGGCCTGGGAGAAATGGAGCCCCCATGCCTCTCAGCAGTCAGGATAAGCCTCAACTATTAATTCCAACTTACCCTCAAACATTTTTTAAATTCATCTTTGTTGTTGAAAGTATTACAGATGTCCCTCCCCCCCCACACTTACCCCCTTCATTCCACACCTACCCTCTTATTTTTAAGTGCTATCTTATGAGAAAAGACAGAAAGCCATGCTACAGAGTACAGAACAAGTTTACCTCAAATATAGACCTATATCTATTTGCTAGCTACCTCTCAATATGAAGTAAATCATTTATATTTGAAAAATATACCCTTATACTTGATAATCTTCAAATTTGTGAATGATACAATAATATATGATTTCCTTTAATATAATGCGATAAAATATAACTGAAAAATCAGGCAATCATTTAATAAGCCAATCAAGGCAAAAGTTTATTATGATGCTTTTTAAATAAATTCTGGCTCAAACACCCAATAAAATAGTGTCATAAATATCTGTTCTCCTCACTCCCACACAGAGTTTTAAAAAAACATTTTTATTGATTTCAGAAAGGAAGGGAGAGGGAGAGAGAGATAAAAACATCAATGAGGAGAGAATCATTGATCAGGGATCCAGCACGCAACCCAGGCATGTGCCCTGATCACAGAATTGAATCATGACCTACTGGTTCATAGTCGATGCTCAACCAGTGAGCACGTTGGCCACACCAAACTCTTCTATAGAGTGCTAATCTGAGTCAGGATTGAATTGAACATTATTCTTTAAATTATCCAAGGCCTTTCTCTTTTCTGGCTAATAACCTGATATCATTTTCTCAAATATTAAATTTATTTTGTTGCCAGAATTAACAGTTACCAACCTGTTCTTTTGTTCATGTATGCATACGTTATTGCATATATGAGGGTTGCTAGAAGCCATGCTGATTTATAGGTGGTAGGGAGTAGGCAATATCCCATCCGTATAAACATGATTTCTTCACATCATTCTGGAGAGATGAAGTCAGAGCTATGTCGTAACAAACTAAATGTGTAATCATTCTCCAGATAGGCTGAAATAAAATATTCAGATGTTAAATCGCCCAAGGCAAATTACTACTGCACTGAATTTTCTCTAAGGATTATGCTTTTCTTTACCTTCATGTGAAAGCAGAAATACTATCTTTTTATGGCTTGGAGATTCAGCTGTTGAAGCTATGGAAAAAAGCTATGCTTGTAAAGAGAATTTTAAAATTGTTCTTTTGTTATATATACTACTGAATTCACTAATAAGGCAATTGAATAAAGTGTCCTCCAGGGGTGAAATAAAAGAACATTCCATATGCCGAACTATTTATCTCCTTGGCCCACCTCTGATCATACTCTACTCATTTCTGTCTGTAGGTTTGGTTTGTGTGTAGGTCAAATTACCTCCTATTTTGTTATATCGTTGCCCTGGCAGGAGGCAGAGCCCTGATTCAACAATTGGGCTGTTATTAGCCATCTCCCCTTTAACACCACTACTTCAGCCACAGTACAAAAGGCAGTTTTTAACAAATCTTATTCATAGATGAAAAAAACATCTACATGTGTTACAATCACTAAGAAAATCGCCCTTCTTTCTTTCAAATATATAAATTAAAAATGACCAAAAGACTTTACATTATTGCTTACTTGACTCATTTTTCAAACAAACAAACAAACAAACACCATTAAACAACCAACCAAAAAACATAAGACTTATACCTAAGCAGTAGATTTAAAATAAAAAGATATGCTTAAACCAGACCTTAAGAATTTGGAAAATTTTTTTATCAGTTTATAATTTCAGGAGAGCTTTATCTTTAGATTTATGTTCCATTGTCAGTAGCCCTTCACTGTTTAACTTGAGGGATTCTCTATCACCCTAAATACTCCCACTTCCACTACATTAAAGTTGTTAATGATTTATGACACATTTATGTACCTAAAACCCATTAAAAATTTTTAAAAAAATATATTTCTAGCCCTAAAAAAAAAGTTTTTTAAATGTAACTTTCATTTTCACTTATTTTTAACAAGCAAGGCACAGTACCACATGGGTTCAAACAGCAAAGTTCTCTACATCAAACAATAATAATAGCTACTATCCGTAATGGGGATAGTGAATTAGGAATATTCAAGCATTAGTGGTCAGTTTTTTAACCTCTCAAATATGTATGTCTTTCTTAATTTACCAGAGGAGCTAACTGAAGACTTAGAGAACATAATATAGCCCCAGTTGATTCAGTCTCAGAGTAGAGCTGGAATTTCAACCCAGGTGTATGTTTGTATCCAACGCCTATGCCCTTTATTTTTATGTCATGTTTACACAATTGCCCATTTTGAGTCACTTTTGGGGTCAAGAAGTAATACTTTCCACAGGCTCACATGTCTCATTTTTTGACAGTTGTTTTTTTTTAAAAAAAAGCACAAAAAACCCCCAAAACTCAATCCTCCTTTATCTACTATTGGTGCTCTTTGCCCTGAACAAGATAATTGATTCTTACTACCTGAATGGGTTTTGAACTGTTTTCCCCCATTACCTCAGGGTCATATTGCCAGGGCATTCTTTCCCCTTAAACAGTGAGAGTAGAGAGGGGACAGCTCATGTTGAGTAATCCAGGCAGTAACTTCCACGCAGTAATCTCCAAACCTAGTATTGTCCACTTAAAAATGCTTGTGAATAAACAGAACTAGAACAGAAGAAGAGGACTCTATGAAGTCTGGAGCCTTCCCCCTCTTACTTTTGCATTCTTTTTTTTTTTTTTTTTAATTTTGGCACAGAACACTTAATGAGCATCCGCTGTCTGCTAGTCACTGCTAAGTGTTATAGTTGATATGCACAAGGCAAGGCAGAATAAATAAAGGTCAAAACTGGTTTAAAGAAAGGAGTATGAAAGCCAGAATTAGAAGTTTTCTCAACTCTTACGCCATGCCTGTATTAGTTGTCCAGGGCTTCCATAACAAGAACCACAGACTGGGTGGCATAAACAACAAAAATTTATTTTCTCACTGTTCTGGAGGCTGCAAGTCCAAGATCAAGGAGTCTACTGTGTTATCAGTTTCTCCCAGGCCTCTCTCCTTGAATTGCAAATGTCCGCCTCCTGGCTATTTCCTTTTCTCCCCACATGCCATCTCTGTGTCTCTTTCTCTTCTTATAAGGACACCAGTTTGTTTGCTTCCAGTACCATCCTTACACCATCTTAACCTTGATTACCTCTTTAGAGTCCCTATCTCCAAATATAGTCATAGTGAGGGTTAGGGATAAAAGCTATACATTTTGATGGAACACAATTCAGTGCATGAAAATGGCCATTGCATAGATGGCTATAACTTGCAGTAGAAAGAAGTCAAGAGATTCAAGGAAAAAAATATTATAGTGGTTAGAAGCATGGATGCTGGAGCCAGAGGGTCACATCCTGAGTCTGCCAGGACCTAACTGTGAAAACACTGGTCAAGTTTCTTAACTTTGGTGCATCAGTTGCCATCCTTTAAAACAGGGACAAGAAGAGCACCTACCTCCTAGGTTATTGTCATTTGAAATAAGTTGGCTATTTCAACTTATGTATTTGAAAAGTTTTAAAGATGCTATTACTCCTCTTTCCCCTCTGGATATGAAATCACAGGAATCATGAGAATAAAATGCAAGAGAGAAGATGGTGGAAATTAAACTTTTTAATTGAGAAGTATTGACACACTGATTTTTCTTAATTGTAATCATTTACTTCTATAATAGTAGTTGTAAGGATAGGACCAACACAGAGACACACACTTTAGATTCTTAAATTTGTATCCTAATTCATTCTTTATTGAGCACCCCATCACATCCTACAAATTGTCCCAGGCCCTCTGGAGAAGGCAGTGAACAAAACAGACAGAACCCTCTATTCCCCGGAAGCTTACATTCTAGAATGGAGATAGAACACCACCACATCTAGCACCCAGTTGGGGAAAATGAGCCACAGTGGTTCTCAACCTTCCTAATGCCGCGGCCCTTTAATACAGTTCCTCATGTTGTGGTGACCCCCAACCATAAAATTATTTTCGTTGCTACTTCATAACTGTAATTTTGCTACTGTTATGAATCGTAATGTAAATATCTGATATGCAGGATGTATTTTCAGGGATCGCGACCCACAGGTTGAGAACCGCTGATAGGAGGAAAAAACCCAATCAGTTCACAATGGCATACAGCAAGTTGTTATTTATCACGTGACCGGGAAAATACACAGGAGCAGTATTGACTGGATCCTGTTGCATGGGCTTCCCCTAGTGCTGGCCTGAGCCCCGAGATGCGGGTTTGGGCTGACCCTGCGCCCTGGCACCTGCCAACCAGTCCGCCCCGCCCAGCCGGGCCCTGCGCACCACGCGGGCGGGAGCAGGAGTTCGCCAAGTCTGCCCCGGGTGCGCGGTCTCCTCCACCCCCGACGCGGGCAGCAGCCTGCACAGGCGCGGGTTTCGAAGGTTTCAGGTCCCAGCAGGCGGTCGCCCGGAGTGCTAGTGCTTTTGGCTTTGGCTGAATGACTCTTGAGCCACGTCACCAGTTTGACAGCCTCGCACCAAATCAGAGGCGGCGCTCACGGGGAGCCCCGGGCGTCCCCCGCCGCTCCTGCAGATTAGAACTCGCCTCTCCTAGCTCCTCCCCTCAGTCCCATTTAAAACTCCGAAAAATTAAGAGTGGACTCAGTTTCTGCAGCGCCTTCTTCCACTGCAAGATGGTAAGTGAGGAGCTGGCTTTTGCTAGCTTGCTGGTGAAGCCTGGGGGCGCTGAGAGCTAGTAAGCTTTGCATTTAGAATCTCTCCCACCTTGGAAGGAAGATTTCTCTGCTACCTGTCAATAAAGAGGGGTTCTTTGCTGCCCATCTTGCTTTCTCATTCCCCATCTCTCTCATCCTTTACCTTCTCTGTTATTTCTGTTATTTTTGTCTCCCAACTTTCCCCGTACACCTGCACTCACTTTTCATTCCACATCTTTCTGTAGATTACGCACATATCAGCAAACACTTGGACTTAACCTAGTCTAGGGCTATTTGGGGTTTGTTTTCTTCTCAGGTGTCAATTGCATAATAGCTCAGCTCTAATTCCAGTCAT